TATGAGTCCTCATCAGCACAAAATCCTGTGAAAAAATATGAAAACTGTGACAAAGCAGAATTATAATCAACCAAATTATTATTGATTATTACAGATGAGCAAGATGTTCAATAGCCAAATTTGAAGCATGTTCACATTCCTCTTTTCCTTACAATGAAAGTGGATGGAGACCGGGGCTTTCAAGCTAAAAAAAAAAAAAAGGTAGTCCATATGATTCACTATATTCACTTAAGTTGTATGACAACTTAAGTGTCTGTAAGTGTCTGTATCTGTAATTTACTAAAAGTACCGCTTGACAGCTGTAGTCACCATTCATTGTAGGGAAACGAACAGCTTAGACATTCAGCTATAAATGTTTTCGTTTGTGGCCCTGGAAGAAAGTAGAGTAAATTATTTAGACATAAACTACATTTTTGGATGTACTGCCCGTTTAAAGCAACTGTATGTAATTAATTTTTTTTACTTTAAAATATCTGATGGTACACAAACTTGTAATAAGGAAAATGGCTTGTGTTTATTTCCCAAACCACATGTACAGCTATCTATGGAAATTGCGAAGTTTTAATTCTCACTATTCTGACTTTTGTTCTGAGAATTCTGAGACATAAACTCGCAATTGCGAGTTATAAAGTCAAAATTGTGTGATATAAACTCGCAATTATGAGTTATAAGGTCAGAATTGCGAGATATAAACTCGCAATTCTGACCTTATAACTCATAATTGCGAGTTTATATCACACAATTCTGACTTAATAACTCGCAATTGTCTTATAAAGTCAGAATTGACTCGCAATTCTGAAAAAAAAGTCAGAATTGTGAGTTTATATCTCGCAATTCTGACCTTATAACTCATAATTGCGAGTTTATATCACACAATTTTGACTTTATAACTCGCAATTGCGAGTTTATGTCTCAGAATTCTCAGAACAAAAGTCAGAATAGTGAGAATTAAAACTTCGCAATTTCCATAGATAGCTGTACATGTGGTTTGGGAAATAAACACAAGCCATTTTCCTTATTACAAGTTTGTGTACCATCAGATATTTTAAAGTAAAAAAAATTAATTACATACAGTTGCTTTAAACGGGCAGTACATCCAAAAATGTAGTTTATGTCTAAATAATTTACTCTACTTTCTTCCAGGGCCACAAACGAAAACATTTATAGCTGAATGTCTAAGCTGTTCGTTTCCCTACAATGAATGGTGACTACAGCTGTCAAGCGGTACTTTTAGTAAATTACAGATACAGACACTTACAGACACTTAAGTTGTCATACAACTTAAGTGAATATAGTGAATCATATGGACTACCTTTTTTTTTTTTTTAGCTTGAAAGCCCCGGTCTCCATCCACTTTCATTGTAAGGAAAAGAGGAATGTGAACATGCTTCAAATTTGGCTATTGAACATCTTGCTCATCTGTAATAATCAATAATAATTTGGTTGATTATAATTCTGCTTTGTCACAGTTTTCATATTTTTTCACAGGATTTTGTGCTGATGAGGACTCATAATCTATAGTTATTTACGAGGAAATTCACTGCAATTGTGAACATTCAGGAAGAAAGTAAGTCATACAGGTTTTTGAAGTGACAGGAATGTGAAAATTAACAATTAAAATGAATTACATCTCATTCCTCCTTTTCTTTAAAAAGCACAAATCAAGGCTACAGTGAGGCGCTTAGTGGGGACAATTTTAGTGGGGCTTTAAAGCTTTTCATTTTAGAAAAACACATTTAAAATTCTATCAAAACTTGCAGTATTCGAGATGTCAAGCTGTTTAAATAATAATTTCTCAAGTTATTTTAGGGTTTATGGAGATCTGTTGTCACAAAAATTTTAACAATTGGATATAGCTTTACACACTTAAAAAAATATTTAAAGGCATAGTTCATCCCAAAATCAAAATTCTGTCATCATTTACTCACCCTAATGTAGTTTCATTTTTTGACTTTCGCTCTTCAGATCATCTTTTGTGTTCCAGCAGGTTTGGAACAATATGAGGGTGAGTTAATGATGGCAAAATGTTTATTTATGGGTGGACTATCTCTTTAACACACAAATCGTTTAAGTTTTGTGGCCATATTATTGAATCTGTGTATTTTAACGTTTACGGATTGGTACTAATCACTTCCAACGTAAATGCCTCATTGTAACCAAGATTTTTGTATGTATATATATATATAAAATTTAAAGTGGAAATTGTTTTTTCACAAACATGAATTAAATTCACAAATAAATAAAATGAGATTTGCAAATAAAAAAACATATTCACAAATATATATTTATGTCACAACCACAACTTTGCCTGGCATTTATTTGTGAATCGCGTCCTGTGCATTTGTGAATTGTGAAACATTTCTTGCGTCAAGACGTGCTGCTGACAATCCACAAATACGTGGACTCCACCCACCGTCTACTCAAGCCAATCAGATAACAGCCACATTTCGCTGACCAATCGTAGCACGATCTCGCTATAGCCAATCACGTTTTGCTTTACAATCAGGGTGGTCTCGTCCTGAGATAACTTCATTCATCTGCATTGGCTCAAATATGAAAGATTTAGGAAAAATTAAAATAGCATAATATAACTAAGAGACTTGACTTTTAGACACCATATTGCCTGTTTTTGCTCTATTTTGACAACAAAAATAAAGAGTTTTGCATCTCTGAGCAACATGACAGTGTTTCGTTTCTGAATGAATCGACTGTTTAAATGATTCGGTTCAATCGCAATAACTCACTTATTAACAGCTACTTGCTGCCACCTACTGGCGGTTTAAATTTCACATTTAAAGTATCTTTTCATTTTTTAAATAATTTCAAATGTCAGTATTTGACGTGTTTTTTAAAAAATATCAAAATATTATCTATGCATTTGTAACTGCAGGTTAAAGCATCCCATGTCCCTCTGAGCTGCATTAAACAGTGTGACATCTAAATGTCACTTCAGATGCAGCTTCTGTGTTTCCTCTGCATTGCAAAGATTAATTTCGTTGATTTTTATACCATTTGCTTGGTAACAGCCCAAATGTCTCATTATCCTAATTGACAAATTATATGCAAGATCTTGACTCAAAAAGATGATGCACACTTTAAGAAAAAATGGCTTTATAAATGTAAAAATGCTTATAAAAGGTAAATATATATATATGTGAACTGACCACCACAGAATATCAAAAACTTCATACATCGTTAGATCCACATAGCAGCTCATATACATCGGCTTGACTGAAAAACTGGGAAATGCTGTTTGCTGTTGTGTGACGGCAATTTAACCTATTACACAAACAAATGTTTATTATGAGGTTGCGTTCAGTTATTTATTAGTCAGTTACTTATTGATGCTTTTATTTCCATATTGAATAACATGACGCTTCCATAACACGTTTGAATCCAGTATAGCGTTGTTCCCATATATAATACTGTGGCTTGGTTGGCATGATACACAGTCTAATGGTCTAAAATCCAATTTTAAACATCTTTTACTGTACCCATTTTATGGCGCTTATATTACCTACACAAAGTTGCGGTTGTTACATAAATATATATTTGTGAATATGTTTTTTTTATTTGCAAATCTCATTTTATTTTTTTGTGAATTGAATTCATGTTTGTAAAACTTTAAGATTTATTTGCGGATCTCATTCTATTTATTTGTCAATATGTTTAATTTTTGTTAATCTCTTTACATTTATTTGTGGATCATAATCTATTTATTTGGAATTAAGCAACAATTCTATCTCCATAGTGGTGATTCTATTTTATTTTATTTTTTTACTAAAAAAACAATGCCTCTAAACAATAACAGTCCTGGTTCTATACCCAATTCTAAACCAGTAACTACCTATAAAACCAGAGAGGGAAAGAATAGGCTGGTTAAAATGTTGTTGTGCACTAACCTTCAAATCTGATTCAAATCTCAAGGATCAACAGAGATACTGATTGAGGAAGATGTCCAAATTAATGGCAAAATACTAGGCCAATGATCTCTCATATAATTTTGGTGCTTTCATTTCTTATAAACGACCATAGGCGGAAATCCCAGGGGGACGGGGACAGGACCCCCCCCCATCTGAGGGTTGTCCCCCCTAAAATTATGATTAAAAACCACGCTGTGTATTGTAAATAGCAATGTTTTATACTTTAAATAATTGTGTAAGTAGTAAAACAACACAAACGGGGCAAAAATGCGTTTTATGTTCAGAAACATTTGAGTCTCCCCCTCCCTTGCCTCACAGTGCTTTGGTCCAAATGCCTGCTTTCCTCTTTTACATCACCCACACACACACACACACACACACACACACACACACGAGTCCGGTGAGAGAGAACAAATTCAATAGTTGTGGAACTCATGTAAGGCGGTCAAGGCTATTTTATTCACTTAAACATCGGATGAAGTGATTATTTTCTCTTTAATACATGATGCCAATGTATTTTTCGATGAGTCTGCTATGTTAGCAATAATAACATTACCTGCTTGACGGAAAGGGTTGCCAGGTTTTTACAACAAATCCCGACCCAATTGCTACTCAAAACTAGCCCAAACGAACCGCTTTTCGAGGGGGTCCCCCGGTAAAAATCGTGTTCCGGGGGCTAAAATACACGTTATTGGGGTCGCTTCAACCCGCAGACATGAAAAGCAACCCGTGGCAACAGTGATAAAGTAGCCCAATTCCACAGGAAAACCATGGACTTGGCATCACTGTGACGGATAGTAATGTCCACAGTGGACATGAGCGCTGTCACAGCGTGACCACAACAGCTTGGAGTTGTCTAATTTGGCACGGTCTCCCTGCTACTCTAATAGTAGTAAGGCTTTCCTCTGTGCATACATATCCTTACAAGTACAATTTTAGCTTGATTATTTGTGTCCCCTTCAAAAATTGCTCTTGAGAAATGTTATGTTTATTGTCTGTTAGATTAAATTTACGCCCCTGTAAACGACAGTGTTTAAATCAGATGTTCAGCTCTAGCTGATTGTGTAACTGCTGTACTGTCCTGTCAGCTATAAAGAAAGGTTTTCGTTTTCACAGAGACTCGTGCATGCTGTGACAGTTTGACAGGCGTCAACATTTTGGCAGCTTCTTTACATTATGGTGTCTTGTGTTGCTTGAGCATGTAGACGGTTTGTCGTACCTCCAGAGGGTTGACAGTGATGGAGAGAGAGGATCCGTCACAGTCCGCTTGTTTCTCTGGCAGCGTGTGCGTGTGAATGAGCTCTTGGTTTTGTGGTTGGTTGAAGAGGTAAACACTCAGCAGCACCACCAGCAGGGCGGCGATACACAGCACAATGACTGCAGTAGCAACGGCAGGTACGACTGGAGAAAAACAATAAATCTTACACGCTATAGACTTTAGAATAGATGTCATAATTTGACAACCCCCCTAAAATTATGATTAAAAACCACGCTGTGTATTGTAAATAGCAATGTTTTATACTTTAAATAATTGTGTAAGTAGTAAAACAACACAAACGGGGCAAAAATGCGTTTTATGTTCAGAAACATTTGAGTCTCCCCCTCCCTTGCCTCACAGTGCTTTGGTCCAAATGCCTGCTTTCCTCTTTTACATCACCCACACACACACACACACACACACACACACACACACGAGTCCGGTGAGAGAGAACAAATTCAATAGTTGTGGAACTCATGTAAGGCGGTCAAGGCTATTTTATTCACTTAAACATCGGATGAAGTGATTATTTTCTCTTTAATACATGATGCCAATGTATTTTTCGATGAGTCCGCTATGTTAGCAATAATAACGTTCTGCTTGACGGAAAGGGTTGCCAGGTTTTTACAACAAAACCCGACCCAATTGCTACTCAAAACTAGCCCAAACGAACCGCTTTTCGAGGGGGTCCCCCGGTAAAAATCGTGTTCCGGGGGCTAAAATACACGTTATTGGGGTCGCTTCAACCCGCAGACATGAAAAGCAACCCGTGGCAACAGTGATAAAGTAGCCCAATTCCACAGGAAAACCATGGACTTGGCATCACTGTGACGGATAGTAATGTCCACAGTGGACATGAGCGCTGTCACAATAATCAGAAATATACATGAGCATCAAATCAGTATATTAGAATGATTTCTGATGGATCATGTGACACTGAAGACTGGAGTAATGATCTTAATCTTACTCTTAATCTTACAATATATTAAAATAGAAAACAGTTATTTTAAAATTGTTATAATATTTCACAATATTACTGTTTTTACTGTATTTTTAATCAAATAAATGGAGCCTTGGTTAGCCGAAGCGACTTCTTCCAAAAATCTTGCCAACCCCAATCTTTTAACTGAGAGTATTTCATATTTGGTATCACCTCAGCTAATGTTTACCTTGTCATATCAAAATGAACATAATCACAGACACACTTCATTAAGGCCGACACAATCATTTTGACTTTCACTCACCTATGCTGTAGCTGTTAGATTCTATGACTGTAGGATGAATAATTTGCATGTATTTGGGCGGAGCAATCGCATGATTGACATGTTCAATAGCTTCCTCGCTGTGAAGGATGTTGACCTTGGAGAAAGAGTGATAGAGAGCATCTTTAGGACATAGATCAGAACCGTGGCTTAATGCATTTCTTTGTTTGGTTCTCACCTGTAACGTATACTGATCGCTGGTGTAACGTCCGCTGAGCTCAGAGCAGGTGAGTCTGAAGGTGCGGACAGAATCGACTGCCTGACGGCTCTGATAACGCACCTGTCCGATCACCTCTGTGTAGTGAGAGATGGAGTCCACACCTAAACCAGATGTAGAAGATGAAAGAGATGAGGAAATTGTGTTTGGGAAAGATTGAAGTAAGTTGCAGAGTTTTTTTTTTACCATATATAGACATGCCAGTGCTGGAGATGACGTATTCCAGGTGTTTGCCCAATAAGGCGCTGTGGTGCAGTTCCAGACTCTCTAGCCCCGCCCTTAACTCCTCCCCCAACACCATGATGTCACAGTAGTCCAGATTATGTGTGATTTCCTTCAATGCACCTGACCTGTGATCTGCACACATACAACGATGAAACAAATTTGAATGAATAATAATAATAAAAAAGAAATATTTCGTTCTCTGCTATAATTCCCACAGTTTTCAGAAATATAATATTCATGAAATATATGCAATGTAATATCCATGACAGTCCATGAGCTGTCTGGACTACTTTTATGATGCTTTTTTAAAACTTTTTTTAAGTCTCCTTTTAAATTATGCATATTCAACACTTTTATAATATTTAATATATCACTTAGGTTTCTATATGCAAATGACCTCTATTCTGATCATGTACCAGAGGAGTTCATATACAGTGGGACTAGCTGAAGTTTTTATAAATTTATACTACTGTTCAAAGGTTTGGGATCGGTAAGATTTTTTAAAATTAATTAATTTGTAAATGTTTTGTATGTGTTTGAAAGAACACATTAAAAATACAGTAAAAACAATAATAAATCTTATTAATAAATGTTATTAATTATAAAATATTATTACAATTTAAAATAACCCTAAATATATTTTGAAGTGTAATTTATTCCTGTGATGTTAAGCTGAATTTTCAGCATCATTACTCCAGTCTTCAGTGTCACATGATCCTTCAGGAATCATTCTAATATTCTGATTTGCTGCTCAAGAAACATTTCTGATCATTATCAATGTTGAAAACAGTTGTGCTGCTTCATATTTTTGTGGAAACTGTGATGCATTTTTTTCAGGATACTTTGATGAATAGAAAATTCAATACAACGGCATTTATTAGAAATATTAATATTTTGTTTTATATGTCTTTACTTACACGTTTGATCAATTTATTGCATATTTGTTGAATTTAGGTATTAATTTCTTTAAAAAAAAATCCTATTGAGCCCAAATTTTTGAATGCTAATGAATATCTACATAGTGACTGAAACTTTAATTGGAAAGAGCAAGGAAAGTGTAGTTTTCTATGATTTGTCTCATTTAAAGTAAACAAATAAGCCCTCAGAATAATGGAGGGAGAGGCGTTTCAGATTCAGAGAAGCATCCTCATGTGTTGTGAGGGTGGAGGGTGCAGTGAGCATCTGTCTTTTATGATTTATTAACATGTTTTTTTGCATTTACTGTTGTTTCCCACCAAAACAGCATGACACCTGCACTCTGTCAGTGAATAATGTGCTCTGTGCTGCGTTTGGGGACTTTCTTTGTGGCTTGTTTTCATTAGTAGTGTTTTTGTTGCAGAAATAGTTCACCCAAAAAGGAAAAATCTGTCATCATTTACTCAATGACTGACTTTTCTTTTGTTCAACACAGAAGGTAAAGTTGAGCAGGATGCTTTCCACTCTTTGGTATAGAATGGATCCTGTCAAGCTCCAAAAAATGATAGTAAAGCACTCGTAAAAACACAACTTGTGCACTATTTTCTGAAAATTTGCTGAAAATGTTCCCTCTTAGATCTCATTCCTGTATATTCAATATGGTGGGTCAAAACAGGTTTGAAAAAGCACTACAATATATAACTTACATTTTTAAATTAGAATGATATGAAGGTGAGTAAATAATCATTTTGAACAAATTACCCATTAAGAGAAGAAAGGTGATTCTAGAAATGTTCTACCTGTGTTTGTCTGTCCGTCGCTTTTTGTTACTGTGCTGATGATATGCAAATCTCTGAACAGGGATAGGCCGAGGGCAAGGTCAGAGGCGGGGACGGTCAGGTGCTCCGCCCCAGTGATTGTGATGCGTGGTTCACTAGGCTGCATTACCATGACAACTGCCTCAATATCAGGGACAGAAATACACACATCCTCCCCGAAACACCTGCAGAGATCACAAACACAACAACACATTCTTTCTCTTTTGTGTGTGTTATTTTAGATACAGACACACACAAACACACACATACAGGGTCCAAAAGTAAGCACCAAATGCAATTGCCATATTGCCAGTGGCTTTATTAGGAACGTTTATCCTAATAAATCCAGATTTAAGATTTAAGCTTATGAATAAATAAGCTTTCCATTGATGTGTGGTTTGTTAGGATAGGACAATATTTGGCTGAGATACAACTATTTGAAATCTGGAATCTGAGGGTGCAAAAAAAAAAAAATCTAAATATTGAGAAAATCGCCTTTAAAGTTGTCCAAATGAAGTTCTTAGCAATGCATATTACTAGTCAAAAATTAAAAACGGTAGGAAATTTACAAAATATCTTCACGGAACATGATCTTTACTTAATATCCTAATGATTTTTGGTATAAAAGAAAAATTTATAATTTTGACCCATACAATGTATTGTTGGCTATTGCTACAAATATACCCCAGCGACTTAAGACTGGTTTTGTGCTCCAGGGTCACATATAAAGTTGATAAACTTTATCAGTTCAGTTGAAATTGCCAAAATTTAATTTTGGATATAATTATATAATGCAAAATAATTTTCCATCACATATAAGAAATATTTAGCAGGGTTATTTTAGTGTCACTGAGATACTATTATATTTTTTATTGATATTTGGAATATTAATATTTTTATTCTATTTTTTGTTCTTATATTTTCTATTTTTATTTTAATCCTAAAGTTTTACCGATTTTGTTGTGTGTTATTGTCATTTTTATTTATTTATTTTAAAATATATAGTTTTAAATATTTTTTTAGGTTTGGTTATTTTAGTACATCAAAATACACTTAATGAAAATGAGAAATATTGCATTAATTGGCAACATAACATTTATTTTATATTTTATTTAAGTTAAAGTTTATTTTATTTCAAGTAACAAATTGTTCTATGGTTTTTGCTTTTGTTTTATTTAAAGGGATAGTTCACCCAAAAATGAAATGTGATGTTTATCTGCTTACCCCCAGGGCATCCAAGATGTAGGTGACTTTGTTTCTTCAGTAGAACACAAACAGAGATTTTTAACTCAAACCGTTGCAGTCTGTCAGTCTTATAATGGAAGTGAATAGGAATCACGGCTTTGAGAGTCAAAAAACATACACAAACAAAACCAAATTAAACCCTGTGGCTTCTTCTTCAGCCAGCGCATGATGCGTCTTCTTCTTCTTGCTTTACGGCAGATCGCAGACTTATAAGTGCATTTATCTCTCAAATGGACCATTGACACTCTATCTACAATCTCAATTAGGAGTGTCAATGGTCCATTTGAGAGATAGGTGGCGGTAATGCACTTATAAGTCTGTGATCCGCTGTAAAGCAAGAAGAAGAAGACGACGCGAACGTGCTCAAGACAGTTCGGACATTGCAGTAAATCAGAGGTAAAAAAACAATATAAATACTATTCAGTTTCTTGCACATACCGATCGTTTCATGTCTTTACACATCAATGTATCGTCACGAGCCACAGGGTTAAATTTGGTTTTGTTTGTGTATGTTTTTTGACTCTCAAAGGGAATCCGTGATTCCCATTCACTTGCATATAAGACTGACAGACTGCAACGGTTTGAGTTAAAAATCTTTGTTTGTGTTCTACTGAAGAAACAAAGTCACCTACATCTTGGATGCCCTGGGGGTAAGCAGATACACATCAAATTTTCATTTTTGGGTGAACTATCCCTTTAACTATAATAACCCTGATATTTAGAGCTGGTAAATTGTCTCAGCTCACTTGTCATTGGCAGGTTGGGCATGAAGTTAATTTTGGGTCCTGCAAACACTCCCTCAGAGGTGAAGACATCTCCACTTGGATATAAATAATAAGAAGCGTTTGACAGTGATGTGCAGAGTGTAAACAAATGACTTGGAGCTGTTCCCAACTCATTAGGGAGACTGCAGCGCTGATAACTTCACACAAAGAGAAAAACTAGGCCTGCAGTGAATTAATAACACTTCAGCTTTCTTGAATCTCACAGTAATTGGACTTAATGAGCTTAAAAGCAAAACACAAACGGTGTTTACTAGAATTAATTTACAACTCTAGTGATTTCACCACCGTGAAGCAGCTCTGAATGACTGGAAGTAGGAAGTCCATTATCCACAAATGAACACAGATCCGCCTTCTCTAATTAAAGATGTTGTTAATCATGATGCAAACAAAAACTCACATTCATCAACAGACAGGAAATGAATGGAGGAAACCATCTGTGACTGAAGGTTTAGATACGCTGAGGCTTGAAGAGATTAATTCATGTTTCGTTGTGAAAACAGCTGTTTGCTACACGTTACCGTTGGTTTAAACTAAAATATGATTTTACTTATTCTTTTACTATCTGTGACGATTGACTGATGACCAAACGATGCATGCTATTTGATATCTTTAGCCCTGTGTTTGGATGTTAATGGTTTCTCAGGGTGACGCGTGTCGAACATATGCTTGGATTTTCCATGATGAAATTCATGCGTTCGAATGGCGGTGGATAGTGAAGGATGAGGCATTCTGCCATTCACTAAACCTGGACGTTTGCCTCACATCTGTTTAAACACGTGAACATATTCCAACATGGCATTGAAGGAGCCAAGTGTAAACTTTATTGTTCAGTATTGAATATTTAATTTTGCATGATGATTTTCTCCTAGTTTTACATTTATATGCCTTTTTTGCTATAATATATTATTCACCTAAAATTAAACTTTCACAAAAATATGAATTTAATAGTACTGTTAAGTCTCTTGGAGTTAACATATTGGAGTATATTGTACTGTTTTGCAATAATATTTTTTTGTGATATTTTTAAAATGTATTTATTTATTTTAAAGCAAATCCCCTATTGAAAAACCATTTAATAAGTTCACTAAATGAATGATATTAGTAAGTGAGTAAATCTCAATATTGGCCAAAATAATGGTTATTATTATTATATATTGCATCATAAATTCACTTGTAGCATTTAAAACAAGTTTTATATTATTTTCTATTTCTTTAAACAGTATAGCATTTTATCTGTTCATAACACACAAATAATTATCAGCTTATTGTAACTATAAACAGAATTATAAAGATAATTATATAATAACTGCAGTGCATCCCTGATGATTTGACCAGCCATTTTATTTTGGCTGGTGGGAGAAAAACACTGATATTTCTGGTATTTTTTAATCACTGTCTAGCTCCTGTAAATGTTGAAATGACTTCAGGTCACCATGCAAAACAAGTTCTGTCCCCATAGGTCTATACAGTCTCACTTTTCCATGTTTACATCATTACTTTTTAGGCCAAGGTGTACAGTGTTTGTCTCCTTGACAAGCAATCTGTAACTTTGCAAAAGTGTAAATGAATCATCTAAATTACTTTTAGATAAAAGTTACTAATTATGCAAAACACAACATGTTTGTGCTTAATATAATCTGTGATCAGGAAGTTTTAAGAATGAGAGAAGCTAGAGTTCAATTATATGTCTTACCGTAATATAATACTTAATTGCTCTTGATTATGTGTGTTTTAGTGTGTAATTTTCATGCGAACTGGCTGTGCTGAAGCCTCAGAGGGGCGGGTCATAATCCTCTTGGGGCTTATGCATATTCATGATCTGCTTTGAATAATCATGGACGCTAAGTGGGTGCATTTCTGTTCCAAAAAAAATTCAAATCTCTCTGTTATTCTCTTTCCATTTCCCGGTCTGTACATAAAAATGAAACCTCGCTAAGGGTGGAATATGAATTGGATAAGAACAGAATAAGAGTAAAGGTTACAAGAAGGGTTAGGATTGTTTATATTATGATTAGGGATTTGAAATAGCCAGCAGCTAGCTAGCAGAAAATATACAAATCTAGTTACAAATACACTCAATAAAGGTTCTTGTTGGCATATGGTTCCATGAAGAACTTTTAATATCAATGGAACCTTTCCAATGTTCTTTATAGATTTTTTATAGTGTAGTCATGTTTTGCTATATACTGTAAAACATTATTGTAATATTAACTGTAAATGACTGAAACCATTTATTATCTTTTATTATTTATTATTAAATGTATATAACTTATTGTTTATCAGTCAATTATTATTAAATGTATTACATTTAAATAAGGTTGTTCTGCAAATGTGTATACATTTTTACTGTATTTTTGCAGAATTCTGGCTACCACAACCGCCTTTTAAAGTGTAGTTTTGCTCTAAAATATTTCAGTGATTGTTGTTGTGTAGTGTAAATATGCTATTATTCTTTAGAGTCAGTTTTGTCAATGAATTGGTCAAATGAATTTGCAAATTGCTGTGTTTTTAATTATTTTATTATTGTTCAGATCCCTGTGGCATTTCAGAAATGAAATATTAATGTTTTGTGTATGTTAACAGGTGTTTTTATGTAATTTATGCTGAAAATTGTATGATAAACTACACTTACAGCAGCTATATGAATTAATTATCTTAATTCTAATTTAAATTCAAATTCTGCATGTTGCATCACAGCAAGAACGGAACTGTTATTTAAAAGGCATTATGAGTTTGGTTCTGAATGAAGCACAATCTTGCTTTGAGCTTATGAGCGATCAGACCACCTTCTGTCTCTCACTAACACTCTGACTCTCTGTCTGTAAAACCTGCTTTCATTTGATCCTCAAATCTTCCCTAGAGCTTCTCGAATACAATAGAACAGAACAGAGGAACGCAAAGCAGAAAATGGAAAATGTGCGTACAGAAATATCTCTCCTCAAGTCTCGTCTCCTGGCTTTTCTTCACCTTTTCCTCATTCTTTTTAAACAAAATAGTGAGTTTCATCTCTTTTCAATGGTTTTATTCACGGCAAACTCCTTTTCAGAACTAATGCAATGTGACTTACAGTATAAAATTTACCAGAATGTGCAATCAAATCTGTGAACTTGAACTAGTTGAACTATAGTTGAGCATTGCACATTGGCTTCAAGGATACCTCATTCATTCAGATTTGTAATTAAGAGTTTGTACAGTGTTTTCTAAAGTTAGCCGTGAATGTGTGTAACCTTTATCCTCTGTCCGAGGCTCTCCAGTGAGGTGATGTCCAATCCTTCTTTGCAGGCCTGTAGGCAGGAGATGATCTTCTGGTTTTCAATCTTTCCTGGTCGTATCATCAGTCCAGACAAACTACCTCTGAAATACTGTGTAAACTTTGCTTTAGAGACCTCACCACCTGCACACAAACACATGTGACATGTGATATGATTCCTAAAGAGGTCACATCATGTAGCATTTTATTATTCCATTTTATGAAGTTGAAAATCTTGCACCAAATCCAGTCATAATTTAGTTTTTCTGACCTTGCATTAACTGACTAATAGAATTAAATAGGCTCTTTTGTGTCAGTTTTTTTTTTAAAGAAATCAACACTTTTATTAAGCAAATAGGCTATGCATTTAATTGATCAAAAGTGATAGTAAAAATGTGTAATGTTACAGCAGATTTCTATTTAGAATAAATGCTGTTCTTTTGAATTTTCTATTCATCAAAGAATCCTGAAAAAAAAATCACAGTTTCCACAAAAATATCAATAGTAATGCATGTTTCTTGAGCAGCAAATCAGCACATTAGAATGATTTCTGAAGGATCATGTGACACTGAAGACTGGAGTAATGATGCTGTAATTTCAGCTTTGATCACAGCAATAAATTACATTTGAACATGTATTCAAATAGAAAACAGTTATTTTAAATTGTAAGCATATTTCACAATATTTCTGTGTTTAATATATTTTTGATCAACTAAATGCAGCCTAAGTGATCAGAAGAGCCTTTCAAAAACATTAAAAGCCTAAAAAAACCCCGCTTTTGTATGTAAATGAGCTTATGGTTGTGATGTCAATAGTGCGTTGGTTTCTGATTGGCCCATTTTTGCTGCCTAGTTTCCATAAATGGTCATAGCCTGGGGAGGGAGTTTTTGAATGTTTAAGTAGACCTATATTACATATTATAGTGAACTGTTTAATTCTAATGGTGCGATTATTATTATTTTTTATTATTATTATTTTCTCAAGGCATTTCTGAATTAAATATTTGGTTGTTTTAAAGAAGCCAATAAAGTGGTCGTAAACAGTAATTCGTAAAGGTCTATATTTCATTTTATTTAAAAATATACATTTATAGCATGTAATAAGCAGAGGCAGACAAAGTACACAACTCCATTACTTAAGTGAAAGTACAGATACTGCGGGTCAAATATTACTCCATTACTAATAAAATTTGTAAAGACAGATTTTTACTTAAAGCTGCAGTCCGTAACTTTTTTTGGTTAAAAATGATCCAAAATCAATATTTGAGCAAGTACATAACCAGCCAGTGTTCAAAACTATCGCCTTACTTTAGCCCGATTCACAACGGTTATTTTATAATTATGTTTTCTAATTTGAGTGGTACGGGTAGGTTTTTGCGGGAAATTCGAGCATGGCACTGCGTCATTACGTCACGTCTGTAAACATAAAGAAGTTGTCCCGGCTACTAGGCTATCGCATGTGAGGATCCTGCAGGTGACCGATCGTTTATAGCCTTTTCTCACTGCAGCCAGAATAATTAAATGTCAAAAAATCATTTTGATGGCGGATTGTAATCCAGAAAGGATTATATGAAACACATGTGAATGAAATTAAATTATATTCCAGTTATAAATGTGCTTCTGATTACAGATAGCCTGGGATTACACAAGATTTGTATTTTAAAGAAAACCAGTTCGAAGGGAGCATAATTAGCTTTTTGGGTTAAAATAATTTCTTGGTATGAAATTCGAATGGTATGACAATTAGATTAGATTGTGCAGAAATTGAAATCTACACACTAATACACACTATAGTCATAGTCACCAATGCTGATGTTGTTAACATTAATAATCTGAGGATAAAGTATAACAATAATAATTTGCACGGTTTGATGTGATATGAGCTAATCGATCATAGATTAAATCACCATTGGTTGTAATGCTTTTTTCCTCAGCTGGTCAGAACAAATGTGGCAGACTTGTTACTTACTTGTTCAGATGACAATATATGGTGAAAATTCTTATTTGGGTCATATTCCAAGATGTAGGCTAGAATCTGTGATTACTAAGTATAGTATCCACACCGGTGCGGTGACTGATTGCCACACATACTCCTCAAAACATTAGATTCATCCACGTTGGAGCCTTGCCAGAGTATAACTAATCACTGTCTAATCGCTCTTGCGGTACTTTGATGTCACACACAGAACGGTCTGTGCAGTGCTGCTTCAAGTCCAACACCTTTTGTGTTTTATTAGGAGACGCACAACAGTTCTTCTGTGGCTTTATAGGTAATATTTTCACATTTTCATATTTTCAATATTGTTTAATATATACCACAATATTAACTTCTTATTACTGAATTGTTGTAAATAAATATCACATTTGGAACTGGTTAGTGCTCAAAAAATGCTGGTAAATCACTTCATGTAGCCCTACAAGAGTGATTACTGATAAACTGTCTGAAAAAAAGAAAGTCATGTTTTAGAGAAGAAAAAAATCACCCACTGACTTTCAAAGCTGCTAACGACTTTCTACTTCGAAGACCTTGATAGAAATGTAGTGGAGTGAAAAGTACAATATTTGTCTTTTAAATATAGTGAAGTTAAAGTCATAAGTTTCCAGAAAAAATTATGCTCAAGTAGAGTACAGATACTCAAAAAGTGTACTTCAGTACAATACTCAAGTAAATGTACTTAGTTACTGTCCGCCTCTGGTAATAAGTGTTGTAATCATCAATGTGTTTAATTGTTCTTGATAATTGTACATGCCTTGGAAGCCGTTCTGAAAGCTGTTACCTTTGGATTTCCCGTCAAACAAACTGACTGATTGGGCAGCTGCCTTTAGTTTCAGACACAGCCATGGTTACACATCACACTTTATTCATCATATACATGCATATTAAATTTCAGCTTCAGTTGAGCTAGAGGTCTTCAGAGGCTGCACTGAAACGAAGCGATCACATGATTTAACTTAATGATGACCTAAGTCAGAGATAATGAGCAATTACCTGCTGCAACTATCTGCTCTGTATGTGTGTGTGTGTGTGTGTGTGTGTGTGTAACGAAGCCTCTCTGAGGGGGTTTGTGATCGGGTATCTTCTGTGAGCCTCGGGCGATGGCATACTGATGTGTATCAGGCTGCTGTATGTGTGTATGTGTATGTGTGTGTGTGTGTGTGGGGGGGGTTATGTGGCTATAGTTTGGGGACAAAATTGTCACAACAATTGATTGAGAGAAGTTAATGCAAAAGTGTAATAAAAGCAGTGTTATTTTTGTATTATTCATATACTATTATAGTATTTAATAATAATATTTTATTATTAAATGTATTCAAAATTTATTTATTAATACTATTATATATATATATATATTTTTTAAAAATATTTCTACAGCTTTAATTTATTTGTAATTGTATTTAACAATTGTATTGTTTTAGTAATTTTAGTACTTAAACTTCAACATATTTTATTTCAGTTTGTTGCCAAGGCAACATTTCTATTTAGTTTCTATTTTATTATTTATTGTTTATTTATTTTTTTGGCTAATATTTATACTTTATTTCAGTTAACGAAAATGATAATTGAGTTAACAATAACACTGGTGAAAAGGGTTATTATAGTTAACTAAAACAGAAACTAAAACCATTAAAACAATTTCGTTACTTGAAATAAAACAAACTTTAACCGAAATACAATAAGATATATAAAATATATACAAATATATTATTAACTTAATGTACTAAAATACCTGGAACTAAAAGTGAAATAAAATTAATAAAAACTATATAGATAAAAAAAAGAAAAACACTAAAAATGACAAAAACACAACTTAAAAGATAACAATAAAAACCCATTCAAAATATAAATAACAACTAATAGTATCTAAATGATATTAATATAACACTAGCTCTTTGAAGAAAAATATTTATATTGATTACAGTGTTAAAAATATTGTTTATCATGTTCTATCTTCTATAATCAGTGCATTCAAAGTGGTGTAAACTGAACTGAATCATGAGAAATCATTAAAATATTCAGGCTCCACAAATCTTAAAAAGATCAAATGTGCAGTCAGCGCTCATTATATTTTTCCCCACACAAAAAGCTTTTTTTATTATCTATCTCACTCTTGTATTGCTTTCATTATGAAACAAAGAATCTCAGAGACACAAAGAGAGAGCACGGGCAGGGGTGTGTTTCCCAGAAGCTTCGTTAGCTAACTGTGGTCGCAAGTCCCATTTAACTCTATTGGTAACGACAGAACTTGCGACCATAGTTGCTTTTGGGAAACACGCAGCAGGTCAAGAGGTCAACTCATTTGTTTTCCGGAGCTGCGCTTGAGGAAAAGGAAAAGAAGTGATACAGGGATTGCAAAAGAACAGATGATGTGTTTAGTAAAGAGATATTTGTTCATGCTGTGAGATTTCACATTTCTATTTTCAAGTCATGTGCACACTGACCACACCCACAACACACACTAGCCACACCCACATGCCATTCCTCCCACCTTGCCAGCAGGCTCCTACAGTGAGCTGCACGTCGATCTGAGAGGAGTGGATGGGCCAGTCATCTGTTACCAGGTACGGGTCATAGGTCACGCCGTCCACATATAGAGTCACCACTGGGAAATCAACGCTGATGACGTAATAATGCCACTCCTTATCACAGATCTGAGAGAAAGAGAGAGAAGTTCACAATATTTCTGCGTTCTCTACATCTGTTGTTTTCATTTTTGCTTCAATGTGTTGTTTTAGTATAATTTATATACTAAGTTTTAGTTTTTTAATTATTATTATTTGTTTTATTTTTATAGTTTTCATTTAAATTTTAGTTTAAGTCATTTTGTTTTGTGGTTTTTACATTTTTATTAGATTTTGTTCTTTTTAAATATATTTAGGTTTAAATTTATGGTCACATGACATGCAGGTAAACAAAATATTTAAAAAAAAATTTCAGGTGTTTTATTTTCAAATAATTTACTCATTTTAATTTGAGATTTTTATGATTTAATTAATTACATTTTAGTTAGGTAAAAAACAGTGGCGGGGAGGCAGGGGAGGCACAGCTTTCCCAAAATTTGGAGGTGAAAACGGGAGGAGGACGATTTAATGTTAATAAAATTCACAGTTCATTTCAGTTCATGTCTCAGAATGTGTATTTTTTGTTTGTAAATTCACAGCTGTAATAGCATAACTTGTTAATGAAGTTGGAAAGCGCCGCTTTTCTATCGCGAATGTGCCGAATCTGCTGATGTAATTACAACTGCTAGGTGATAGAGAAGGGTAGGAGGAGGAGGCCAGGGGAGAGCTGAGCGCTCTAAAAAAAATTTGCCAATCAGCATCGAGTGTTCACTTTCAGCGCTGAGGAGTGTTGAGAAAAGAAACCTCGTAGAGGAGGCTAGCCTCCCTTCTGATATCAACCAATCATCACAGAGACGTAAATTACGTGATATTAGTTTGAACGTCTCCCACTGCACCAAGTACTTATGAGTAGCGATATTGAGTATCTGATTGCCAATAGATTTACCAAGCTGTCATTCAAACAGTATATACAGGTGCATCTCAATAAATTAGAATGTCGTGGAAAAGTTCATTTATTTCAGTAATTCAACTCAAATTGTGAAACTTGTGTATTAAATAAATTCAATGCACACAGACTGAAGTAGTTTAAGTCTTTGGTTCTTTTAATTGTGATGATTTTGGCTCACATTTAACAAAAACCCACCAATTCACTATCTTAACAAATTAGAATACTTCAAAAGACCAATAAAAATTTTTTTTTACAAATTATATTATCTTGCTGTATGTATGTCGTTTTCTTTACGTTTTCTGACTAAAAGCAACCAAAAGGCCATTTTAAAGTGGTTAAGCAAATAATAATAATAATAATAATAATCGTCCGGGATCCCAGACCAATACAATTAGTGTGCCTCCTCTATTTTAAAACCCACGAGCCGCCACTGGTCAAAACTAATCTAAAAGTAATCCAAAAGTAGTCAGAATACATTACCTAAAATAAGTAATCTAGATTACATGTCATCATGTCACTTGTAATCAGTAACAGATTACAATTTGTAAATAAATAAATATATGAAAATGATTTGAGATGTTTATTTTTAAGTTTTATGTGCTTTTGTCAGTTTTTTAAATTTCAATGTAGTTCTAATTAGTTTATTTATGTAGTTTTAGTACTTCACCTTAAACTTACTGTATCTTATTTCAGTTAAGTTGCAAAGGCAACATTTCTAATTTTCATGAAAGTTGTTTTTAATCTAATATTTATATTTTATTTAAGAATTACTTCAATTAAAAAAATGACTTTTAATAGTTTTAGTTAACAACAACCGCCTTGTTGAAATCACTAACCCTAACTATGCTCAGTAGTATAGTTGTAGAGATGCTTGTCTTGGCAAACAAATAGACAGACAGGTTTAAATGTAAAGTTGCGTCTTTGCCATTGTGAGTGTGTGTTTGTTGATGAGGGAAATCTCTGTCTGTGTTTGGCCCGTTTGGACCGCTGCCTGTCAAAAGCACACGGCAGCAGACGGTTTCTGCTCGCTCTGTCACACACCGTGTGTGTTTGTGTGTCTGGCAGGCGGTCTGGGTCGTAGAGTCTAGTGGAACTGATTGTTACACCCTCAGACGAAACCATCAGACATTTCTCATCTTCACTACATCTTTCCTCCTGCACCTCACCATCAGTCTCACTTCTTCTCACTCTCACACTCTCTCCTACCAAATTGAAGCTCCCCCCTCCGCCCCATGTCCTCCTTTTTCCCTTCCCACAGTGCCCACAATTTCCCAAAATGTCTCTGTATTGCTTTCATTTCAGAGTGAGACCTGCAGAAACAGGACATATAAGACAATATAAATAGAGGGGAAAATGTGTCCAGGTCTCTTTATTTCTTAATTATTATTCATTATTTATATTTTATAAAATAAGATATTTATTGTTATTGTTATTTATTTGATCTTATAATTATTTATTTATTTAATGTAAATTATGATATGAACATATTTTGTAAGATTCAGCCCCTACTCTGCAGATGTCCAGGCCAAAATATTTCCACATATATTTAACTCTCTCTCTTTATAAGAAACTCATAACAATTGAATACATTGTCCAACCCAAATTCTTATTGTAATTTGTTTGGATGTTTTTATATTTAATACTTTTGCCCACAATTTTTTTTTTGCCTGATGAATGATAAAATGGATGAAAAATTCCAAACACTGTAGCAGCCATATATTAACCAAAAGCCTAGCATCTTTTTTAATTAATACAATTCATTTCTAAATGTAAATATAATTTAAAAAAAAAACTTAATCATAAATTATGACAAATACTACCATTATATATACACACTTTGCTATTGAAATATATTTAATATAGTAATCATAAAAATAATAAATAATTCATATTGGCTGTAATAATTAGTAAATGACAAAATATGTAAAATGTATAAAATAATAATATACATTTGTTTGCATTACAGTAATGAGAATTGTGAAATATGAAAATGTCATACTGCACAAAAACAGGCTTTGTTTTCTTTATGCAAAATATGTTCTTGACAGGCAGTGTGAGATTCAGCCAGAGCGAGTGTTATTTTTCTGTATTTTTCTTTAATCAGTTCCTTCTCTCTGTACACACAGGTCATCTCTCTGTGTTCTTATTATGAATAAATTGATTTCTTTTTCATTAAATTTCACTTTTATACTCTATTGGTATTCGTCTCGTAATCCATTCAGTTTTTCAGCCTTTCTTCTCTGTCTCTGGTGCTCTGTGTCTCTGGGCAGGCATTGATTTTCTGCAGAGGTGTGTGTGTGTGTGTGTGTGAATGCGAGAATGGCTGGGGATAGCAGTTGTGGTTCATACAATCTTGTGGATCCAGATTTAGTCATTGAATGACTGTTATATTACATCTAGCACACATTACTGTGATTTTCAGTTTTATAAGCATGCAGAAAACAGGTCCGTTCCTAGAACTCGTCCATGTTCAGAAGCGCTCACAGTGTGTCAACGCGATCCCTGGAGAGCAGAGCGCTTTACTGTGATGTTTTCAGTAAACGCACAGCGCTGAATCAATAGAGGTGGTAAAAGTCTTATAGCCGCACTAAGCCAAAGTCCACTTGATGGCAAGGCAATTTATCAAAGACAGAATGAGCGAGACAGGTAGAGAGAAACCATTGTTTCAATTGCTTAGATGCTGCAAGTACACACTTTAACACTTACTGAAAAACTCTTTGAAATTGTACCTTCTCAAAGGCCAGAAAACAGGTAACGGACAGTTGCTGAAATAGGTGCAAAATAGATAGAAAAAAAAGACACAGGCGATTCACACAGATCTGAGAGTCTTCAGACATTACAAAGTGTGTCTCTGAACACTTAAGAGACACATGCTGTCTTATAACTGTTGTGAGTGCCATATCAACCGACATTAAATATTTAGTTCTTATTTAGGATATCTGAAGTGCCTAATGGGTCTTATTCACTCATTTGTTTGTAAAATGTTTTTTTTACACAGGTATCATGATTTATCAGAAAGTTTGCATTCAAATGTATGCTAAATTTACTTTAAGACCACTGGTACACAGTAAAAAAAAATTATTTTATTACTCTAAATCAAGAAACATTTACTTTAAAAACAAACAAATAAACAAAAACAAATACATTTATTTTCCAGATTTGTCTTAACCCTTTGGCAGATTTGTTTCTAGTTTAATGGTTAAACTTACTTAATTTTGAGTTTCATTAAGAATTTGGGCTTAAAACAATAACAATTCAGAGAAAAAATTATTTTTGTGTTTTTTTAACCCATTGTCAGAGTTTTTTTCTTGCTTTAAGCACAAACTCACTTAATTTATATATATGTAATCTATGTGATAATGAAAGTATTAATTATTTCTGACTAACAATAAATAAATAAATAAATAAATAACTTAAAAATGCAGCCTGTAAATAAGAGTTTCAAGACTGAGTGTGAGGGCAAATTTATGTGCATATGATCCTGTGAATACGGTGGGAATTTTTCTGCATGCATAAATATACTAAGAGTAAGGTTTATTTTATTTTATTTTGCAACAAATGTGTAAAGTAAACGGAGGAAAAATGATATTTGTGAAGTGCAGTGAAACACTAGAACTGACATTCATGTTATTGAGCCAACACTCAGCACTCGTCCAACAAAACTTCACATTTGCATTAACATTCATCATTTAATATCCTTTTTCATAATGGAAACACAACACCATCCACTTACTAATTAAATTAAACTCTCAGATTCTTAAAAAAAAGCTAATTTAATTAGATCTCTTTCCTCTGCGGGTAGAGGAAAGAAAAAGCCTTTAGGAAAGATATAAAAAAAGATTGCTCATGTTCTTTGAAGTGTCTGAGACGTGCAAAGACCAAAATGTTTCTCCCTCAGGCCAGTGGACCCTCAATCCCATTTATTTTATGTTATGCATTTATGTATTCATGAAACTACATTATGAAATTCATTTTAAGGTGGGGTTAAGTTCTTCAAGAGCTCGTTCTCCACTGGGGAAAATGGCTCTTTGATGCTTAACATCTCCGTAGAATCTTTAAACTATCTTTGCATCTTCTAATGCTGAGCATGTAGGTAGCAAATGTACAGTTATGGTAATGAAGATTTCAGAGGTATAGACTCAAATAAAAAATGAATGCAACTGCACTGCGTCAAATAAATGCTATCTATATTGGTGGTGCTAAATTGGCTCTTCAAATTAGTTTGTGGTTTGATGCTCTGATGTTTAAGTTGAGCTTTCGTCAGTTTGTTTTGACCAGCAGAACTTTGCTCGTCCTCTGTGCCCAATCCTGTTGGAGGAGTTTGTGTTTTAAAGCAACCCCTGCCATTTTCTCTGATGGGTTTTTAAGTGGTGTTTGGCAGGGAAGTTCATGCAGCACACTGCTAGTTTTGTGTTGCGCTGCTTTTGTGTGTTTGTTCTCTCAGATAATTAAGTCTTCCCGCAGCTCCGTTCTCTGGCACAGCAGTGAGGAGAATCCACTGCTAAACAAACATTCTCTTAATGATTGCACTGTTTTCTCTCTCTTTCTTCATTCTAAAGCTTTATCTTCACCCTAAAAAGTGGATGTTTGCATAATTATATGCTTAATGATGGACTAACTCAAGTATTGTTGCATGTACAAGATGAAAGATTCAATTAACCTGCAGCAGACCTGTGAATCTAAACACAACACGCACAACACATTAAGAGGAAATTCATCACTAATATTTGTTAGGCGGTGGCTGTTTTTGTGCTTAAAGTAGCCTAAAGAAAGTTTTGTGAAGAAGTTCCTACTGTCATTAAAATGAGAGAGTAAAAACGAGGACTCTATCTATCTATCTATCTATCTATCTATCTATCTATCTATCTATCTATCTATCTATCTATCTATCTATCTATCTATCTATCTATCTATCTATCTATCTATCTATCTATCTATCTATCATTGGTGGGGACATGCGGACATAACGACAAACATTTGTTTGATCGAATTTAGTAGTTGCTGGATTTCCGAACTGACTAAAAGATTTGTGAACCCACTCCGAAGTTCCTATCTAAATCAAATAATTCACAAACCATCATTTCAGATTGGGACTTCGGAGCCCGTTAACGCAAATCATTTGATTCAGATTAGGACTCGAAAATCATTCAGTTTGCGAAATGATTCGTGAACCCGTTGCGAACTTCCGATCTGAATCAAAAGATTCATAAACCCGTTCCGAACTTCTGATCTGAATCAAACGATTTGCGAACCCGCACCGAAGTTCCGATCTAAATCAAATTATCCGTGATCTGCACTCCGTAGTCCCAACCTGGGGTGCGTTTCCCGTTCAACGACATAACTCGTTGATTAACCACCATATTACGATGCATTGTTGTTGAAACGAACTAGCTATTTATGACTGTTTCCCGAACACGGTTGCATCTCCGTCATTTGAACCACGTTAGTTCAACAACATAGGGCCATTGTTAATGACGTCACATGCATGTGGTGGAGGAATAACTGCTATTTAACCAATTAGACATCTCTAAGATGCTGCTGTATTGAACATGACACCTGACACCATTTTGCTTTATTTGATGTTTGATTCATCGTGGGTTCCCTCTTACGTCATACTCCGGGGTTCTCTTCACTCTTCAAAAACGGCGCTTTTAGAGGACGCGCAAAAATACATCGATTAAAATGCATTTATATTTAGTGTAGCGTCTGGACCAATCAGGCACACCATTTTTCATTTGATTTAACAAATCAATTATTCATTAGATTAACAAATATTCACAGACCCCTCACCCAATAAACATACTGGGTGCCAAGATGTCTGTGAACGAGGCCCAGGACCCTGGTCCCCATGGCAACCACGACACCTTTGCTAGACCAGATACATTTACGACCTAATGGCATGTTGAGAATTACCCCTCTCACTACAATTTCCATAGGAAAGACAAAGTGCACAGTAGAAATGAACACTTCTAATTAATCCATAGGAAAACCTTTCTTTGAATGAACACACATATCCTTCAGGTCATTGTGTATGTTGTCTTTGAGATTTTATGCAGCTTGTATCACACTTGACGTTGTTCATTGTTTGCTCATAACTGGAGTCCCTAATCATGCAGATTTATGCTACAGGCTCTGTGTAGAGTTGTACAGTAAGAAAGTTATTTCCCTTAACCAGGAAATTAACGTTCTTAGAATTGACAGACAGTTGACCCTGAGAGGTCAAGTAAATATCTACAGCAGATCTAAATATTTATAATTAATTATAACTAGTTATGATTAATTATTCATATTTCCCCATGAGCTGATTCACTACTTTAGATAGAATGGAATATATACATTGTACTGCATGTTAGCTTGCTTATTGTGCCCAAGAGCATATTTATTTAAGCCCATATCCCTTGCTAACACGAAACTATGCTTCTAACCGCAGGTCGAGAGCTGTAGTTCCTACCACGTAAGTTTGCGATGCTGTTTGCGAATGTTCGTTTGAACTATGGTTTCGGGAAACACCGAATCGTTGAACTATGTGGGTAACGACAGAACTTGCGACCATAGTTGGCTAACGCTTTTGGTAAACGCACCCCTGAATGATTCGTGGTATGCGAAGTTCCAATCTAAATATCAAATGATTTGCAAACCCACTCCTAAAAGTCTGATCCTAAGGCCAATCTGACTGGAGCACTTTGAAACCATTGAATCATTTTGCGACGCAATAGTTGAACTGGCTCGGAGTATGATGTTTACAAATAAAATATCCATATTTACATTCCAAAGACAACATCCAACACAAATCTACAAACATATTCAGGTGAAGTAACCGGTTTACTGTTAAAACATACAAGCACAGTTCAAGTTTACCCTCTTTTACTTTCTGTTCTAATGCTGTTTTGTGTTCATCTGCTTCTCCCAGTTGCAGTTTTTACATTGATTATCAGTATCACTCTATATAGACTAATACAATCAGATACAACAGTAATTTCTCAAATGTTAGTTACAATAGCCTACTGATACATTTATCATTCACTTCATTGGTATGAGATGACTAGATGCTTTCAACTGATTTCCTATTGAACACAGTAGTCAGTCTATTTCAAATATAGTTATAAGCTACAAACTCGATCATAATGAACAATGTTTCCATGTATTTTGTGGTGCAGCTCATCACATTAATGAGGTGTTTAACTAGTTAAACACTTCGCCTAACTTATAAGTTATTACTCCACACGTATTAAACATGCATCCTTGAAAGCTTGCAGTTTTCTAGCTTATTTACTTTAAAGGGGTCATAGGATGCTACATGCACTTTTACAAGTTGTTTGAACTGTGTTAAATGTGTGTTGGCAGTGTGTGTACACAACCATCCTATAATGATAAAAATCCACCCTGTGTTTTTAAAAAAATCTGGTTAAATGTCCCTTTCTCAAATCGAGCCGATCTCAGATGCCTGTCTGTGTGACGTCACACAGACAGGCCCCTCCCACGATAGTTTGATTGACAGTAGCGTTTCAGCACAGACTGGATTAGTGTCTTACCTTGGACCCGCCCTGAGTGAGCTGTCATCAGTCCGCCATTGTTTCACCGCCGAAGCAGATGTAGACGAGAATGACTCCTAAGCGATTGAGGTGTTCTGTTGTTGGATGTAATAATGAACATAGCAGTCGTCATTTACTCCTGACATCTGAGCCGTTGAACTCGCAGTGGATTATTTGTTTCTGAAGGGAATGCGCCCCCGATCTACATAAATGCGTCTATGTTCGCACAAATCATTCATGATCCAGCCTCATCTACAGAAGAAGCGAGTATAATGTTTTGTAATGAATCTTTGCCAATCGCCTTTCCTAATAACGTGCTAATTAGCAAGTTTCACGATGAATGCGGCTAAAGTAAACAGTCTCTCTGAGAGCAGCTCGGAAGAGAGGGGCGGGGTCAGCAGAGCTCATTAACATTTAAAGGAAAATGCTACAAAAACGGCTTGATCTGAAAAGAGCTGTTTTTGACAGGGTAAAAAAGGTGTTTTTACACTACCATTGAGAAATTTTAACCAAACTATGTTACAGACTTTTCATTAAGACCCCAAATAATCATATCAACTGAAATTGGCATCATATTACCCCTTTAAATTCTCAGCTAATATCAGTGGTATGAACTATTTGAGATGCAGAGTATTCATCTGAAATGAAATTCCTGGTGTGAAATGTCTCTCATACCTGCTCTAATTTCCAGTGGAATTCAGCTGGTCTGAAGGAGTCTGTCTGAGTGTAGTCCGTCCTCAGCAGGAAAACCAGCCTGCAGTTATGCACATACAGAGAGTAATGGTGTCGGTTCATCTCTGAGAGAGACAGAGAAAGTGATAGAGACACAGAGACAAAGAGAGCACGGAGAGGTCAAGAGACAGACAGAGAATACAATTACCTCTTGACATACAAGATAATATCACTAAATTGAACCTGAGAGAAAAGAAACGGCACCATTTGGTGTGTGTTTATCTATATAGAGATCCTGACAGGAGAGGATAGCCAACTTAACCGGGCTGGAAGTAGAGCTCCAATCGTCCAGTACAAACGAAATTCTGATCTTAAATGTTTCCTCTTCAATTCTAATGAAAAGACCAGTGTGAACCTCCATGTCCTGGCTGGTTTTTGCTAGCTAGCAGACCAGCAAGGTTTTTCTGGTAAAGGCTTATCATGGACTTCTTGGTGACTAAGTTATATTCTTAAAACTTCCTGTGTGTGTATGTATAATGCATTATAAAGGTATTCATAATGTACGTTGTAATGCATTATATCTGTTCATAATAATTGTAACCAAAGTTGAAATGCATTATAATATTAGGCTTGTTTGTCATGTGTTGCATTATACTTTCTAAAGACTTTCTAATGTATTATAACTGCAGTTACAAATATTCATGAGAGCATACAATGCAGTATAAGGTGAATTAAAAGCCATAATTATTGCATTAAACTACTTTTGTAATGCATTATATATAAAGGCTTTAAGTAAAGTGTTACCAAGCTTTCTAGCAAGCTGTGCTATTATGGACGTTATGGATTTTTGTTTTATTATGTGGTATTTAAATAATTCTGTCTCAGATATTTCTCCTCAAATTCCAAAGGAAAATTAGAAACAGTAATTGCAAAGAGCAAAATTTCTGTGAATAGCAGCTTAAATAATTTGGTCTTAAAAGAATTTGATGAGAAATTAGTTCATATCATTTTAATAATGAATTATGAAAATAAATAATATATTCTTATTTTATTTGAACAAATATAATTACATTTATATATAATGTAGAATAATTACAATCATTATATAATTTTATTGCATATATTTACATTTATTTAATCTTATTTTTAATTTTTAAATTTATATAATTTTAATGTAATATTTAATTTAAATTATTTTATTATATATTATATAACTAACAAGTAAATTATTGAGATTTCCAGAGTTTATTGGACCTTCTGAAATCTGGGAGGTATGAAAGTCTACATATGCTGTGTAGGAAAAACAACAGAGATCTCATTTGTAATGGCAGGATCCATACGCTGGTCTTTTGAGCAGGTTTCTCCTCCCGTCTCCCCTCTTCTCATTCAGTTCTCCCTCTGTCTCACCTGTTTTGTCAGAGTTGCAGAGCAGCGTTTCTTTCTCGGCTCTCTGTCCTGGACTCGGCCCGTGCTTCATCCATGTGGTTATGGTGAACTGATGGGTTAGATTCTGCGGGACGACCCAGTCTGGGATCTTGGCAGCTTGACGACCATCAAAGCGGTATGTGAGGTCACTGTCCCGGCCACCATCCGTCACAAGAGTCACCGTCCAATTAAAAACACTGCTGGAGGCCGGCAGAAGATCTGTGCTGCCTGATGAAGCTCCTGGTATGTTGCCAGTGAGTTTAGAGATAAAATGATCATTTGAAACACAGATCACAGTTGAGGAGCTTTAAATGGACTTTGACTTTGAAGTCCAAATGAAAAGCCTTACAGATTTTGATATTTATTAATTCGTACAGAATTTCTAATAATAGGGTTATTAAAATGTTTAAAATAAACATTGCACGTAATAATGCATTGAAGTGGCATACTACTTTTATGTAATATATACCTTTGTATATACTAAAATAATTAATTTATTAGTATTTATATATATTATATATAAATATTTTTAAATATTTAGTGAATTTAATGTTTTATGGTATAGATATAGATATGTTTTAAAAATGTTTTTGTTTTTATAGACATCTTTTTAAAGATCATTTATTTAAAAAAATTATATTTTGTTATAAATATATAAAAATGAATAATGAATTTCATCTTAAATTATACTTTAAATTATATATATATATATACATATATATAAGTGTGTGTGTGTGTGTGTGTGTGTGTTACTATTAAAAATAATTTATTTTACTTTTTTACAAAAAAAGAAATAAAAAATACATATATATATCATTTTTTTATTAATATTTAATTTAACAAAAAATATTATATAACATAAATTTGATAGAAAATGACTTCAGGTCAGCTTTTGCTTTGTGTGGGATTTCATTACCATATCATTCATTATCACACCATTAATATGCCTCTTCACCCCATAGAGTCCAATGCATTAGGATATGCTGACACGTCATATAAAAGGACCGTTAGTCTTCTTGGAGATCTGTGATGAGCTGTGTATTTGTATTTTATAGCTTCATTTGTAGTTTCTCAAGTCAATCCCTCTGATATGGATGAATTACACTGCTAATGATTCTGCACTGAGACACATACCTATTCTAGGACAAGGGTGGAGGTTTTGTCTGACTAGTTTAGCCCTCAGGCACATTTTGTAATTAAACCGACCCAAGAGAAATGAGGAAGCGTGCAATGGAATAAATAGCAGTTAATCATACCGCAGAGCTTCTGTAAGGATCGTTCAGAGTAAGACTGTCTGTCACAGCCTCTCCCAGCACCGCTCGTCTCCAACTCCACTGTGGTCCTGATCCACGACACCGATCCCGCACATGTCTCCAGGTGCATCTTGGGAAATAACAGCTTACTGCCCATTAATGGTTCATAGTCAACGAGCTTGCTCCAGCCTGGGAAGAAAGAAAGTTAGATAACGTTTTGATAAGTAGCTTAAATATTAGAAAGAGCGATAATGTCACTGAGCTGGAAAATGAAGATATTGAGGTCACAGTGTTTTCCAGACTTCCACACAATTAACAAGTCAGTTCCCCAACAAGACGTGCATTTCAAATACACCTTGAAGAAACGCAACCTTCTTTTGTGCATGAGCCAAAACATTCACAAGTTTAAACTTAGTGATTGCCACTTACAAAGTTAGTACTGTGGCGGGACTATAATATATAGTGATGGTATCAAATGGAAATATCATGGTACACCATCAAAGTTTACCATGGTATACTATATAGTGCCCAAAACCTACACTTTTAGAAAAAAATTGCAAAACTTGGGTCACAATTTATTTTAAGGTCCAATTCTCACTAATAACAAACCATTAACTACGACTTTTTCCTCAATGAACTCCTAATTTGCTGCTTATTGATAGTTAGTTGGTAAGTTTAGGTATTGGGAGTATGATCATGCAGAACATCTGCTTAACAAACTGCCAATATGTTAATAATATGTATGCTAATATCAACTATGAGAATTGGTCCCTATACTAAAGTGTTACCAAAAATTTTACCTTTAGAGGTAACACAGGGGCACAAACGATCTCCTTTGTTCCTTCTTTACTCCTAAATGGTGCATATTAGTAGTAATATGTACTCTTATGGTACTATTGTTGCACATTGTTTTTCTAACATTGTATAAGCATGTCATTTTTGCATTATCAGCTGTAGATAAATCATTATAGACCGTTGTGTTATGTGTTAGAGTCAACATGAAGTGCAGTTCATAACCAATTTTACTTCCATAATCTGATGCATTTTAGAGTGACAGGATATTCAACAAGAAAAATGTCACTATTTACTGATAACACTGAAACAACTGCACACAGGTCAGGGTTGAAACATGTTGAACAGATTACATTTCTACCCTTGACAGCTTTGTTTTGGTAGATATTTCAGCATTGCGTTGTCATATTTGCTGAAATCGGTGCATTATTCTCAACAACTAGACTTCTGTAGAAAATGTGAGGGATGTTTGCATGTGCAGAACTCTCAGTCATGATACTAGGCTGCTGTTAACAGGCAAAAAAAAAAAAAATTCTCCCTCAAGTCTCTAGACATTGATATTCTGGTCTTTAGAAATTGCTGCTCATTTATTTAAATGAAATTGAGTTAAGTCAACACAACTGCTAAACTTTTTTTGAATATGTAAAATTAAAGTTGACTTAATTTGTGTTGGGACTACATGAATAGTTGTTTGATGCATGAGCTGAAATTGCGAGCTTGATTATTAGTTCCTAGCATGCTTTGTCTAGGACTGAATTGGTAATGTTGGAATTGAGAGTTATTTTATGAATTTATGAGTACAGGGAAATCCCTGTTTAAAAGGCCAGGAAGGACTAGAATTTTTGTTGTTGAAGTTTTTATGGTTACAGTTGGGTTCGGTTGAAGGATGGTTATAAAATGATTTTGGTGATTGGTGTACCCTTCATTTAGTCAATATAGCTGTGCTAATATCAGTGCAGTGACAAACTAAAAATGTATGTCTAAAATAAAAAATAAAAAACATATAAACACTTGCCTTAACAATTGAGTAAAACAAAAAGTATGTACTTATTCACTTTAATTTTACTTAGTAGTTAAACTGGTTTGACGTAATTACATGTGTGATATTTACTTAAATTTGTAATTTTAATAAAAATATACTTGATACACCCTGAGTATATATTAAATATAATATTATATATTCAGTGCAGTCAGTCTGTGGTATTTTTTGGAGCACAAATATGACAAGTAGCAAAACATTATTTATGTAACTAACTGAATAAGCCCATTTGTTAGTTTTTTAATTTTTCTTTTTGTTTTATTCAGTTATAATTTATAATATATCTGAGGTTTGTTACCCAGAGCTCTTAATGCGTCTGGCGAGATATTACATTATTCAGGCTACATTGTGGCTGTAATGAATTCTATAGCCAGTGGTTATTTAACATGAATTTATGGGTGAAAAACGGCGGACAGTATTAAATGGATTGTGTAAACATGCATTCACATACAGACCACACAAATAGTAGCTCACACACAAACACACTTTGAGCTGCTGGGTTTGGGAATTTGGAGCTGAAAATTATTATTTTATGGATGGAGGGAGCCTAAAGATAACTACAAAATGTATGTGTGTGTGTGTGTGTGGACGGTGCATGTCCACCCCTGCTGAATTATTCACCCTTGCTTATGAGACACAACGGGGAGCTGTTTACTTTTCTCTCTCCTTCATGCTTTTATGTCAGATGTGAAAAAATGGCCTTTACGCAAGTTGTCATCATCCAGTGGGCTGGGAAAAAAATTGGCCTGAAGCTTCTACCAAATGTGTGTGTGTGTGTGAGTAAAGAGGAACATGTTTTGAGTCTCCAAACTCACCTGAGGGACAATCACATCAGAGACACATCAAAGTGCATTCTGGGAGACACAAACTACTCTAGACCAAAAGTTTACTTGATTTTATCCAGTGGGAATTGACTGGATGGTGAAAAGGCAGTTGAAGGGGAGGACAAATATGAGTTTGATTTTTTGGTAACCCTTTACTTGAAGGGGTGTGCATAAGACTGACATGACACCTTCATAATCATGACATGACACCTACATAATCATGACATGACACATGTCATGAATATGAAGGGTTTTTTATGCATGTTTATGACAACTGTCATTAAGTGTCATTCGCTCAGTTATGTCATTTTTAATGCAAATATGACATTATTTGACCTAACCCTACCCCTACCCTTACCCCTAAACATAGCCCATAACAAAGACATCTCAAACAATGTCATCTTTGCATTAAAAATTACATAACTGAGTGAATGACACTTAATGACAGTTGTCATAAACATGCATAAAAAACCCTTCATATTCATGACATGTGTCATGTCATGATTATGTAGGTGTCATGTCATGATTATGAAGGTGTCATGTCAGTCTTATGCACACCCCTTCAAGTAAAGTGTAACCGATTTTTTTTAGCAGACAAGTAATTTTTACCCTTTAAGGGATTTTAATAAAAAATGCAAACTTTTTTGCTTTTGGAATAACATGCACAACTGATTTGTGCACAATAAGACCAGAGACATGCATTAAAGGGACAGTTCATGCAAAAATGACAGTTCTGTCACCATTTAAAGCAGTATTTTAAAGAATATTAATTTTCAAATCAAATTTTTAAAAATTTTGACAGGAGAAAGAAAATCATAGAGGTTTGGACTGGAATGACATGAGAGTGAATAAATGATGACAAAATATTCATTTCTGGGTGCACTATCATTTTAAGAATATAAATAGGTTTGATTGATAATTTTGATTGAATGCTGACTTGTAAAAGCTTCTATTTTACAATTTCATATTCACAGCTTTGATCAAATTTAAGTTTGTTTTTACACTTCAGTTGTTTGATGTTTAATTCTGGGTTACAACTGAGAACTAGCAACGCCTGTTCACCACTGTAGCTGGGAAACAACTCATGAGGAGATGTTAAAAATGGAAAGAGCTTTTTAACATAATTTGATGCTTTTGTTGCTTTTTACTTCTCAACATATGCAGAATGAAATGTGCCAGTCTGCTCTCATATCAGTGGAGAGGCTGCAAGAGTTGGAAGCCGCTTAGCAAAGGCAATTTCTGCAGAGACAAGCAGCAATGAGAAATGCATTATACTGTATTAGGCAAATGATATGATATTGATGCAGCTGACTTCTGCAAACTAGGCCAGATTGCTTTTATACCAAAGCTTATTGGAGTTTGCGTGAAGACTGAATGTATCTAAATGAATCAAATGCTAAAATCAAACTGAGTTTCTGGCATCTAAAGTTTTAAAATGCAAACACACCAAGTTTTGCATGAATAATTGCAGCTGTGGTCAATAAAAAATGTCCTCAAAGATCAGTTTTTAAAGAAATGAGAAATGCATTATACTGTATTAGGCAAATGATATGATATTGATGCAGCTGACTTCTGCAAACTAGGCCAGATTGCTTTTATACCAAAGCTTATTGGAGTTTGCGTGAAGACTGAATGTATCTAAATGAATCAAATGCTAAAATCAAACTGAGTTTCTGGCATCTAAAGTTTTAAAATGCAAACACACCAAGTTTTGCGTTACCAAAAAATGCATTTGAAATTAAACAAAAGATCATTGCAAATAGTGCAATATTAACTGCATCAGGCAGGTTTTCTGAAATGATGTTTATAAAGAGTTATTTTTGTCTGATTTAACCCATTAAAGGGGTCATATGATGCGATTTCAATTTTTCCTTCCTCTTTGGAGTGTTACAAGCTCTTGGTGCATAAAGAAGATCTGTAAAGTTACAAAGACTAAAGTCTCAAATCCAAAGAGATATTCTTTATAAAAGTTAAGAGTCAGCCACACCTACCTAAAACGGCTCGTTCTAACACGCCCCCACATATCTTCGTCACGGTGTGGGAAGATTTGCATAAAGCCGCCCAAATGTTCACGCAAAGAAAGAAGACGTAACTTTTATTCTCGCTGTAGTATTGTTGTTGCCGCCGCTGCCATGTCGTGAAGGAGCTGTGTGTTTTGTTGTGAAAGCGAAACTACTTTGTTTGGCCTTCCAGAAGAGGACGATATCTGCTTCGTCATGCCTAGAGCTGATCCGTGCTGGCTGCTGAGTAAATACATCAACTTCGCGCTGTGGATCGTCGGATCGGCTTTCACCGTGAACGAAGCGGAGTCCAGCCCGGGGTCGTCACATGTGGTTGCC